AGCAAGAGGCCGCCAAGAACGAGACACAAGCGCACGCCGAAGGTCTTGGACTGCTGCAAAAGCTTGTCATATGCGCGGGCCAAGTACCCGAGCGGGCCGCGCCGCGCTTTCGCGGCCTCCGAGAACTTGGCGTACGACCCCTCGCGCGTGAACGTTGTTGACGGCGCCATGCCTTTTTGAAAATGGCAATGAGCAAGTTGCCACGTACGTCGTGTGTTTCAAATGTGGAGTATATAGTATCGTAGGTGTGACGCTAAAATAACGCACTTTGAATCGAAACTTGAACCAGCTGCTGCCACGATTCAGGTGGGTGCTGTCGTATGAGTTGTCGCGTCAAGTTATATTTGACACGGGTCGTATACTCTTGCAAAGATCGTCGACATCCTGGATTTCAAAAATGCTGCTTCTCATCGACGAGTGGCCCCACGCTCTTCGAAACGATGCGCTACCTTGTCCGTCACACAATCCAGCACCACGACCACTAACGTCCATGACTAACGTCCATGCGTGTAGCACCGTACAGCAGCCCATCCGCTTGACGTACCGACCACGCTTCACGAAAGTATATGGTAGTCCACCATATCTTTATAATTGCATGTAGTAACTCATTTCAACAACAACAAGTGCTGCTTCAGGAGTCGTCGCCTTTTCGCACGCTTTTACTGTCGTATGTATAAACTGTAAGACGAGGGTGCTTTACTACCCTCGTCCCGCAGTTTCCAATTATATAAGTGCACAAATAGAGTGGCTCTGGACTCTGTTCAAGTAGTAGTACGCCTGGGTGAATGCCGGCTTCCATGACCGCCGTCAGCTTACTAGTACCGCCGTGCTGCTGCCTCAACCCTTCCAGACCAGAAATATATACAGGGTCGCAAGCTGCATCGACAGCGGCGCGTTGATCATCAATAAATCGCGATTGTATTTGTTGGGGGCAGCGTCGCTTACAAGCTTGGGCGCGTTGATCTGCTTCAGTCGCAACACCACAAGGAGTAGGCACTAAGATCCCAAAATGAAATGATGACCTTTGAATCGCGAGGCTCTCAAAGGCAAGTGCAAATTGGAGTATCGCTGCTGCGTCGCTCAAGTCCATCCTTTCGACTTTGCAAGCGCAGTGGTATCCAACACACGAAAGTGCAGTATATTGAAGCAAGGGTCAATTACCCAAGTGTCAATACACTGCTTATTGACACTTGGTTGAATACGCCACTGAGAAAGATGTGCTGGGTTGTGGGCGTGCCTACACGGAAAATGGATGCCACGTACGTGTCGCTGGGTCGTGCCCTCTGTCGACAACTGGACGCGCGACGATCGCGATGTTCTCGACCCAAGGTCCAATATATACGCCGAGGTCCCGTATTCCAGGGTGTACCTTTCCACTGAATTTGTTGACGAATGCATAGGCGTTGTCTCCCTCACGCAGGAGCTGTCGTCCTTGGCGCTTCCACGTAGCATTGATCCGATATCGTACTCGTATAACGTTATCCTTAGGGGACCACCCGAGGCGTGTGTCCGTTGGTATACTCCACAAGCCTGACTCTTCGAGTCGCACTACGCTTCTTCTTCGTCATCACGCGGCGTCAAGACAGGAGCACTCGGCGCGTCGTCAAAGTTCCGATACAAGGCCGCGAAAATACTCTACTCGCCATCTTCGTTGTCATTGCAATTCGGACATAGGAGTACGTACCGCAAGGACCACGAGACCATAGAGAATAAACCACGGCAGAATGATGTACACGGCTGAGAACGTGGCTGATGCAAGCCGAACAAGGAACAGTACTTGCGACGCGAAAAAGAGCCCAACAACGAGACTCGCGAGGCCGGTCGAGCGCATGTATAGCGAGTTATGTCTATAGCACGCGATGCACCAGAGGAACACCTACGACAGTATTAATGAATCAATACTACAGTTTTCGAAAGCGTCATCGACAGATGGAGGCGTACGAGGAAAAGGAACACGGCCGCGACGGGCGCCCACATCAGAAGAAGGACTTTGAACCACGACGAATTCGTGTGGTGGTCCAGTTTTCGCGCCACAAAAGTGAGTTGAAGCGCTAGGGAAGCATTGCCGGCAAAGCTACCCCAGTCGAGCAAGGAGACGTAGATCGGGATAATAATGCAGATCCAGGACCAGTCCACATGCCCGTCAAAACGCAGCACCACAAAGAGGTGCAAGAGAAAGCCGCAAAGCCACGTAAGGGTGCCATTGCTACAAAACACACGCCACTTAGAGCCGTTCAAGTGCAGTGCGTACCAGGCCATAAAGTCGAAAATCCAGACAAACACCATCACGGTGGCCCAGCTCCAGTCGATCGTACCATCGACCTTCCAGCAGACAAACACTAAGAACACAAGCCTTATCAGTCGAGAAAGAGAGGAATGGAAGAGTAAGGGCCGACGCGGTGTGAGGATGACGGGCAAGAGCAGCAAGAGGCCGCCAAGCACGAGACAGAGGCGCACGCAAACGGACTCGGCCTCGCGCAAAAGCTTGTCGTAACTGCGAATCATGTACCCGAGCGGGCCGCGCCGCGCTTTCGCAGATTCCAAGAACATGCCAGCGTACGTGCCCTCACGCACACATGTCACGCCGGCCGAGATCTTGGCGTATGAGCCGGCGCGCGTAATTGATGTGAACGGCGCCATGGCTCTTGAAAAATGCGGATTTTCATCACGGCCTGCCACGTGGTACGTCGTGTGTTTTTAGTCTGATAGGCTCTGTATCACTAGACCGACGCAATCTACCCTCCATTTCTTGAACCAGCTGCCACGTGCCGGCAATGGCGTGGGACTTATCGCGGGCCATGATCGCGGGCAGTATGAGTTGTCGTTTGATGCTTTAACCAACAACAAGTAGTGAGATTGCTAGGATCGTCGAGTTTACACTTTTGCAACTTGCCGTTTGCCTGCGTTTAGAGGTCTCGAGCGTTGGTACGGTAGTATGCACGTAGGATATTGCATGCGTCGTTGGTTCTGCGAGTATAGTGTACGAACGCCCAAGACCTTCATACGCAGTCAAATGGCAAGTTACAAAGGTGAATGTCAAGTTTCTTGTTTTACGAGTTTCATTTATAGCCAATTGGAAGCAGTTTAGATGTATGCACTACGTCACGCTCCATCGATGCATGCAACGCGAATTTAGTACGAACGCCCGAGACCTTCCATTATGTTTCCAGTTACTACGCAACGTTGGAGTCTCCAAAAATCGATGTTTGTCGTATTTTTCTAGTCGTTGTGAGCCTCAAGATTGAAGGCCATGTGCACTGGACATGGGTGCAGACGTTCCTCCCGCTCTTCCTTTTCAGTCTCGTCTTGCTGCCCGTGTACGTGCTCTTCACACAAGTCGATGCGCCAGCGACCTCCGAACATTGCATATTCGAACGAGACGACGTCGATGTTGGCTCTATCGACCAACGTCATCGAACACAACTCGTCCAAGGCCAAGCTGGCAACATGGTATGCATCGTATTCACTCCTAATACCTTGGTAGGTAGGATGCAAGCTTGCATGAGCATCGTTAGGGGGAGTGTGTTTAGCCTCACGTGCTCGCTGGTCGCGAATATGTTGATCGCGCTGCATCTCGACGGACACATGCATTGGACATGTATGTACGTGCTCGTGCCCTACTCGTTGTTCTTGCTGACCGGTCGTTCTGGCGCCTTGAAGTTGTGTCTCAAATCGTTCTGATTGCCAAGAAGCTCGATGGTGCGATGACGTGGTCCTGGGTTTATGTCCTCATATTGACGTGGATTCCTGCGATCTTTGCCCTATTCATTGTGGTACGTTAGCTTTTGCTACCGTTCGTGTATTTCTAGCCTCTCGGCGTCCCTTGCCGCACGACAACGTCCACGGCGCCTTCAAACCGTAGCGCCTGGCGCACAAGACCTTTGTTGTTCTCGAATTCATTGCGATCGGTCCCTACGTACGCCTTGTACTGCGCTTGGAAAACGCCATGCTTTCCACGCTCTGGATCTGTGTGCCCTGATCCCTTCTGTACACAAGCGTCGTTCTTCTCGTACGTCGATGACGCTCAATCGACTCCAATCATGCTGTGTTGTTGCTTCTTTTTGGCCGTAGA